TCCTGAGAAAGTTACGAAAGCATGACTGACATTCCAGAGATTGGCATTGCTTTATAAAATCTAGTGGCCTGATGTCGTAACTAATATCCTCACTACCCGCCTTTCTCTATGCCGTTTGTCAAGAAAAGTTGCGGGGATATTAGTACCTGTAACTCAGGGTATTCGTAGCACTGCGCAGCTCGATACAGTGGAATTCGGAGCTTTGAAGAGCACAGTTCTCGTCTCTGCGTGAGGTCATCAGTCTTCTTCGTTCAAAGCAACACATTTCAGTCCCCCATCCGCTCCAGATAGTCATGGCAACAATTAATCGATAAATTGGAAAAGAAAAAATGATATTTTTTCTCAAATTAATCGTTTACAATTAAATTCAAATGAAAAAAAGTAGATTTATTTTCTGAGCAATTAAAACGTGTTAATGAATTATTTTGTTTCGAGAGTACACCATTTAATTGAGCACAATAAAATATTCCATACTGTAAGTATTGAGAAAGTTTTGGAATTGATGGTCCCTCTTTTTCGCTTTTTCGCTATCGCTTACGCAGTAGAGAGAAAGTTAAGTAATGCTGCGGAGAAAATCCGCGATTTTTCGACAGAAAAACTTATTGCCAGGCCCTGGTAACGAAAAAGTGGATAAATCCAGTTTGCTTAATTGTTATGCGGTATAAAATTATTACGTAACTGTTACGAAGGGGTGAGACAGTATGTGCTGTTTTAGCGTCTCTAGTTACTTCCTCGTATACGTTCGTATCTACGGAGTAATAATAATAATAATAATAATAATAATAATAATAATAATAATAATAATAATAATAATATATAACGCTGCTGCGAAAACGGCGATTTTTCGGTACAAAAACTCGTATTCTGAGGCCCTGATACAGAGTAGGTATATAAATCCTGTTTTAATGTGTAGTAAATTACTCCCTCTAACACGTTATGTAGTCGGATTTTAGAAATTGCGTGTCATTGATATCGAAAAAGTGTTTTTGTTTTGAAAACGTACGTCTGTCGTTTGTGAACAAGGGTTGCGCCTAAACTATGCGTAAACGTTTTGCCAACGTGAGTAAACTTCTGTCGATCTGGCTTCACTCAAAGCTCTGCGATGTTGACAAACATTAATTAATTTTTGGGGATACTTTATGCGAAGTCCCTTCAACATTTTCAAACTTTTCTGAAAAAGGTTCCGAAGTTTTTCTTTAAATATTTTGTAAGAATAAAGTGAAATAGAAAGAAAAAAATATATCGCCATATTTTCGTTTCCCTATTCTTCATAACATTGGCTAACTTATCAAAAAGTTTTTGCTTTGAGATTTTACGTGATTTTCCTTGCTGGCTCCCGGCTCATACATATTAGAGAAAGTAATTTACAACAAATAGGCACACGAAAAAATCTCTTTTACGGTTTCAGGGAGCGATAAAACGATTTTTTTTTCTGTCGAAGACGGCACTTGTCGCCGCAGCATTACTCACTTTCTCTATGCCACGTTTATTATGACGTATGTAGTACGCACGAGAAAGTAAAACTGCCTAAGTCGCTACTGTGTGGCGGTGATCTCTCCGCCGCTGAGATGGCCGCTTCTCCTCCACGGTGCCTCCCATTCGCGTAATCCCTGGACCGAATTAGAGTTCATCCAGAAACTAGTCTGCCCAGTGAGTGTCCCCTGGCGGCCCAACGCGGACCGCATCTGGCTCTGGATCAGGGTTACTATTTGTCCTCCAAAACGAGGACATGCACTCTTCTTTCAAATCTGTCTAGCCTCCTTTTTACTTTCCCCTATACGTACTATATACAGAATAATATACGTAAAATAGGGAAGGTTATGTAATGCTGCGGAAAATCGATTTCACGATTTCAACGGAAATACACGTTTTGGGATCCCTTGTTACCGAAAAGGGTTGTTTTTAAATGCATACCTGTCTGTCCGTCTGTGAACGCCACTAGCGCCTAAATCATACGTAGGATTTTTTCCCAATTAAAGAATCCGCTGACCATCTGGCCCAAGTCAAAGTTTTAAGATTTTGAAAATCGTTCTTTAAAATTTGGAGGTACTTTACATAAACCGCTTGGGACATTTTCAAAATTTTCTGGAAGACGGCTCCAATTTTGTTCTTTAAATATCTTGTTATAGAGAAAAATATACATATAAACGTTGCATAGGTCCAATTTTCATGGTTAACTCTAAATTTTCGAAAATTTAAAAAAATATTTTTTTCAGTGTTTTCCTTCAACTACAAAATTGGAAATAGATATTTTTCTATCAAATAAAATTTGCTCCCCATAATTAGTTCTTTCATTAAGGTCATGTACATATTTGAAAATTTTAATAGTTTTCGCGCAATATTGCGATGAAAATGTGCAATTTAAAAACAAAAAATACAAAAACAAGATTTTCTCAAAAACTGCTCCAAATTTTATTTTTAAACTTGTGGTAGTCATACTGCACAATAAACTCTATGAGATGACATAAACGCCATATTGCTATATTCTCTTGTTGTTTTTTTCAAAAATTACAAATTACAAATTACAATTTTCGACGTCTCTCTAACGTCGGTAATATTTATATTATCGGCGATTTGTTCACATTATTATATTTATGAGTACATGTGCTTTAAATAATGTCAGATAATGTTTTTCGAAAACTCAACCATTTTCTGTGAAAACTAGATCAAAATTTCGCATTTTTAGACATGTCAAACGCCATTTTCTCATAAACTACTCCAAAGTTTGTCTTCAAAATCTTCCAAGGGATAGTGCTAATTACCCTATTTAATATGACGTAAAATTCATTTTCTGGTATTTTTTGATTTTTCTAAAATTATACAATTGTATTTTTTGGAAGATCTCTCACGCCTTTAATGTATATATTTCCACCAATTTGTAAACACTATTAAATGACGTATAATAAAGTTTTTCGAAAACTCAAAATTTTTTTGTGAAAAAGAGCTTCAAACTTTGAATTTACAGTAGCGCTTAAATGCCAGTTTCATAAAAATGGCTCCAATTTTTTCAAAGAAAATTGCCTATTAGGACAATGTTTGACTATTCTTTAATATTATTAAAATAGTATTTCCGTTCTATTATTAGAAAACGAAAACTTAAGAAAATAAAAAATATTGGGTAACGATTGATCGCAGCAGGCAAGAATATGTGACAAGTGCGAATAGCTTGCCGAGACCAAAGGAAATAGAAAACTAATACGAGAAAGTCTGCGCCATTTGTAGCACCACTAGTTAATTTATAACATTTAACTATGAAAATGGTTTATTTCTGTTGAGCAAAGCCTAATATGATTTTAAAGACTATGATTGTTTGGAATTGTTAAGTACATTGTCTATACATTATGGAGTAAATTTCCTCATTTTGTGAATAGTGTAAAGTGTTTTTTTTTAATTTAACTTTTTTGGTAAAATGCTCTTTACTGGGAAAAAAGTCTTGTAACCCTGCTCTTGGAGGTTTCGTCTAGTTTTCTGAAAGAGCCACTTAACTCATAGTATACGTAAGGCATAAAGAGGCTGTAGTGATAAAATATATTTATTGAAAACAATTGATTCATATTAATAATTACTAAATATAACATTATACATATATAAAAATATAATTATTGTACTTTATTATTCATTAGTGTTTCACATTTAATTCAAGAAAATACATGAATGAATTTTCGAAGTTGATGTAGGTATAATAGAAGTTTAATAATTTTGAATGCCCAACGACTATTTTTATTCGGAAATTCATTTTGAGGGGAAATCTCTCCACATATTCATTATTTAAATTCACTTATATTTTAAATAAAATGAAGTCCGATAACGAAAAAGTAAGTTTTAAGATTTTTATATATTCCAAAAGTGAAGTTCTCATTGGTCACAACTATATGTGAGAAAATGCCTAGTACTGAATTGTAAATTGTAGAAAACATAAACATTTAAAAAGACTAGAAAAGGTTAGGACCGAGGAAAAATATAGAACTATAGAAATTAAGTAGGAAATCTACGAGATCACGGATAATATAAAGAAAACATTTGTATTTCTTGAAGATATCCATAAAGTGCATGACAATAGACAAACCAGATATTCAAATGTCTGGGAGAAGAAGTCGTTAACAACATGGATAATTTTTTATTAATTGGAGGGATCTGAATAAAGGAGGACAAATTAAAAAAGATGGTTAAATATAATTCCGAAGATGATATAAATACAAAGAATACACCGAAGTGGCCCGAGGAGAGGAGGGAGAAGAAATGTGAAAGGATGAAGCATTGGAAACGCATGAAGAATGAAAGGGGTACGAATGAATGTAGGTGCTAGAGCCGGACAAAATGCGATCGTTTTCGCTGACTTGCGGTTGCAGTCTCGGAGGGCGAGGCGCTGTTTATGCTAGTCTGCACACAGAACCGCAGAAGGATCGGAACTGTCGGTTCCGCTCACTCTCGGGTGTTGGCGGAGCGAACTCGGAGCGGAGTTTGTATCATCAGTTTCATAAAAAATCGAAAATAATTTAACATAGATTTTTATAACATTTTTTATTTAATTTTTATCAGTTTCTTTTAGAAAATGTCGTAGCTGGCGTAGTTTAAACTGCACAACTATGCAGACGCTTGCATCATGCTCTGTGTGATCGAATTTTAATTCAGTTTTTGTCGCAGAGCATGCCAGTTTCAACTCATAGTTCAATGATTCCTTCTTTGACAGTGAATAAATAACGCGTTTAAGATATTTAATACAAAAGTTTGAGCAATAAACGACGTCGAGAGATCCGGAAAAGCCTGCAGCCTCCATTATTCATAGCTCTTTTCGTCAGCCGGGACAAGGACTTCTCCGATAACAGGCCTATTATCGTTGGACCCCGGTAATGGCAGTGTCATAGCGTTCTTCGGACATACCAGCAGCCTCGTCGGCGAGAAAGATCTGAATTGAATGTCTTTATATCCGACTCTAGTAGGCGCAGTGTTGGAATCGAATGAATAAGTAGAGAAAAGGAAATGAGAAGTGTTAGGAGCACTCATGACTGCTGCAGGACGAACTGCTTGCGGATGGCGGCGCGGCTGATCTTGCCAGTGGTGGTCTTGGGCAGTTCCTTGAGGAACACCACGCCCCCTCGCAGCCACTTGTGCGGCGCCACGCGCTCTAAACACATCCACATCCATTTCACTTCACTCCGCACGCTGCCTTGCGACGCTACAAAGCATTAGGGCAAACATCTCACGAATTGCTATGGAGCAAGTTCTCCTCTGGCAACTGCAATAGAAACAACTGCCATCCAGGTGCAGGACGACATTTTTACCCTGAGGCCGTACGCCTTTGAGATACTTAAGGAAATAAACGTATCAGAGAACATGCAAAAGCAGAGGCTGATTGTCTTAATATCCTACGGTGCTCTCTTACGTTCCTTCTATACAGGATTTTTATTGTAGTGTTTTAATTTCTTTGATATCCTATCCGATAACTTTCTTTGATATCCTTTGGTTTAACTACATTGGGATCATCAGAGATTGTATGCCCATCTGCTTGCCAGTCAATTCAAACTCACAATGCAAACTTATTGTATGCGTGCATATTGTATTATGTGCTGTATACATGAACGCGAAGCAATTAAACAATGATATGAGAAGACTTGTTTCTGGATTGCAAAGAAAGCAGTATTTCTGAGGGACAGTGTGATATGCATTTTAACCTGAGAGAAGTTAAGAAAGTTCATAACTTAAGTTATACTTGAATTTGGTGATAATACATAAGAAATAATGCTTTTGAGTTGTGAAATTGTGACAACTCTTGTAAAGTTGTAAAACAGAAATATTGTATTAAAACATTCAAATAATGCATTAATTCGTGTTATTCAAAATCAATGAATTTTTTCATTTTAAAAGAATTGTGAAGGATAAACACGGTATTACTGTCTTTAAAGCCGTCAGTTACTATGAATGATTTGTAAAAAAGTTTTGCCCTGAACGTAGGTAATAATCTCTAATTTGTTGCAATCTTCGGTGAATGTAACTTGGAAAAGAGGTGGCTCAAAGATATTTCTTCACAAAATATATTTTTAACTAATTCTAATTATGTTATTATTAAGTGCTTTTTATGTAGACGTCATGTTTGTGAGTTGTCAGGCACTTAAATCACAATTTTTCTGATGGTTAGTTTGCTAAGGAGTTGCTGTTTGATCTTCATTGAATGAAGTGGAGTGACGGGAACACGAAAAAGGGAACTTTTGGAGTTGGTGTGGATACATTACTCGGCTCTGGTCTCTGACAGGGCCAGCGAGGTGCCAAGCGCGTTAAAGGGGGGGGGGGTGCGTAGTACCTTGCACGAAGCGGCAGAGCTCCTCCTCGGTGGCCGAGGCGCCGGGGCGCAGGACGACGTACGCCCTGGGCAGCTCCTGCTCCACGGGGTCGGGCACGCCCACCACGGCGCTCTCGTGCACGGCCGGGTGCTCCTCCAGGACGCCCTCGATGTCCACCGGCGACACCTGTCCACATCCAACATTGTCCTCGATCGACATCATTGGAATTTATTTATGGTTTGGGGTTCATTGCGGGGAGACAGCCCTTCGGCACTTGTCTGACATCGACTTTTTCGACCCAGGTTACGTTGGAAACCTACCCCCGACGCGAGTCTGGGGACCTTTATCGAGCAGGCGCACCTCGCGGGAGGTCCCCTAAATACACCTGCGATTTGGCTCACTTTATCTGCCAGATGTCGGTTTCAATTAACTATATTCGAGCTGACTGGTTGGGAGAAAGTGAGATCTCGTTAGGGCGGGAAGTTATCGGAGGGATTTAATTTTTCTGGACACACCGCCAGGCTTACATGCTACAAGTGCAACATGGCAACTGTGGATTTTCGCCCTCCGCAGACGCGGGCGCCTCGGTCGGGATGGAACCCGCGCACTGGGGGTTCACAGGCCAGTAAACGAACCCCTCACCCACCGAGGCTCCGCATCATTAGGAGTTGGTAATGGACAAGTTCCGAGTGATCAGATACCAGAAACACCATCCACAAAAAACGCTTGGGAACTCACGTGCACGCCTCGGTATTTTAGCGTGTCCTTGATGCGTCCTGTGATGTAGAAGAACCCGTCTTCGTCGTAGTGCCCCAGGTCGCCCGTGCGCAGCCATCCCGTGGCGTCGAACAGCTCTGCGCTGGCCTGCGGGTTCTTGAGGTAGCCCTGGGCGAGCATGGGGCCCTTGAACCGCAGCTCGCCCTCCTCGTTGGGCCCGCACACGCGCTCCGTGGCCGCGTCCACCACGCGGCAGCGCAGCAGCGCGCTCAGCGTGCCCACCGACCCCGGCTTGTACTGCGACCGCTTCGTCATGCCGATGCCCCCGTTCAGCTCCGTCATGCCGTACATGTTGAACACCTCCGCCCTGCGCACAACGCGCACACTTCGTTTACAAACATATTCCTTTATGCCCTTTACGAGAAGGCGACAGCTGCTTTTTAGTGACACTGTTTGCAAGCAGGTGGATGGATTGACACAGACCTGGAGGAGGGTGCAGACAAATTTGCGAGGAACCCTTGTAACGCAAACACAAAACCTTGGGGAAGGGAACACATAACGATGTAAGGTGTGGCGTTTGTGAGAAGGAGCATTGAGAAGAGTAGCTGTCGTGTTCACCCACCCCATGATTGAGCCCACGAACTCCTCGGCCTGTCGGCTCATGGCGGCTCCTCCGGTCAGCATGGAGTGGAGGCTGCTCAGGTCCCTGCGGGGCTTCGAAGCCTCGTGCACCTTCGCCACCGACAGCAGGAAGTTGTTGGCCGTGAAGATCACCGGAGGCTAGAAAAGTAACAACAATGTAAATTCCGTATGGAAGCGAAAAAATAACATAGGGTGAAACGTCACTTCTGGAATGTGTAAAAGAGCCTTGGCTAATTAACTAGCAAAATTAAATCCTTCGGTACGTTTCGTTTTCATCAGACTCCGCGTTCGTTGAAACAGTGGGAGGCAATTTATAGATAAATGTGACTTAGAACGCTATAATGACGGCCACTCCCTGCATCAGCTCTAAGCTTCCGACTGCTCTCCAGACATGTGTGGTAGTGTCATGCAAAATTAATGTGTGTGTATAAAGGGGAGGTTGGGACGAGGATGACGATTGCAATATTGCGCGCGGTCTGTGGTGTTTCAGGGTACAGCTCCGCATTTGCCTAATATTAATCGCAGAAACCACGAAAAACTACTGATCAGAGTAGCCAGCTGCTCGAATTGCCCCTCAAAGAGGCGCGGAATTCGTCCTAGCGTTGTAATTAAATCCGCTCCGGCGGCACTCGAACCGTGGGACCTGTTCAGGGCTGTAGTAGCAACCGTCGTTGGCCCTCAGTTTGCACAGGAATAGTAGTGTGGGTTCTGGTGGCCCTTTGCTCACCCGGTTCGTCTCGATGGCCTCAAGGAATTGGTGCTCGTCGCAACCATACTCATACACTAGCCTGGTGCGGTGCACCATTGTGAGCAGCGTGAACCAGATTCCCGTCACCCAAAAGCCGGGTGACGTCAAAACCATGGTGTCGCTGATGCCATCCAACGTCTCGTCCCGCCTGTAAAAATCGCGTCATCAGTTCATCTTCAACAGGAAGTCTAAGAAGAAACTTATCAAAATAATTTGATAAGTTTTAAAATGACATTTTTCAGAAAAAGAATGCAGATCACAGATATGATGAAGGAAAACTGTCTTCGACCTGTAGACTAAGACGACGACTTAGCGTTAACGAGTTATCATTAGAGAGAGAGACAGCTTGCAACTGCTATTACCCTACGCTTGTGGCAAAATCGTGCTTGAAAAGCTCCTTGCCACCGACGTTGAACGCGGGGCGTCAACTACCCACGGATTACAAGTAGGTCAGTGGCAGTGAACTGCCTTTGACCTCGCGATTCGGCTGCCGCTAGACGTCACTCACGTGAAGATGGACAGCGCTCCGAACACAGCGAAATGTGACGAGTGGCAGGCCTTGGGCAGCCCCGACGTCCCGGAGGAGCAGGCGACCACGGCGATGGCGCTGCGCGGGTCTGCGGGAGGCGGCGGCAACGGCGGCCAGGTGTCGGGAGCGGCGTCGGTGGCCAGCGCCGCCCACTCCTCGCCCTCGCACAGCACGGCCAAGGTGCTGGGGCTCTGCAGCTCGGCCAGCAGCGGGCGAAGGCGGTCGGCCACCTCCCGCTCCGCCAGCACCAAGCGCGGCTCCAGGATGCCCAGCAGCAGCCGCAGGTCGCCTGCCAAGCACACAAACTATCCTTCCATCCACCTACTCCGCCAGCACCACGCGCGGCTCCAGGATGCCCAGCAGCAGCCGCAGGTCGTCTGCCAAGCACACAAACTATCCTATCTACCTGCAAAGGAGCCAAAATTTGTTAAAGATGTGCAAGGACATGAAAATGAATCGAGGAAAGGACGAATAATAGTTGAGTACTGAGAGAGTTTCACGCAGAATTGAGAGTCTGTGACACTGTGGAACGACTATATGCTGAAATGACGTTATATTGATGCAAAACGTAGCAGCTGTGCGGTACCGAAATTGTTTGAGATTTTGACAACAAAGAAGGATGAGCGTCTATTGCGCTGGTGAACATATAGAGGCTCGGCCCAGAGACCCAGCCCTAAAATTCGTCAACTGTGTGCGGCCCAAAAATAAAGTATCTTGACACACTGCCTTCAGTGAGATGTGCGTGGATGTAATGGCTTCAACTGAATTGGAAATAACTGAAACCAATTATGCACATCAAATTCGTACATATTAATGTGGGAAGAGCAATAGCCGCTATGACTACTATCAAGAAACTTCGGAATATAGAAGTGATACTGATATCCTCGCCAAAAAATCTTAATACAATTGAATTACAATCTTCCTCTCCGCCAGTACTACTGCGCCACTAACGATCTTCTTTATTCAATAGTTCTCACACAGCATCACTTCGTCAAACGCGACCTTCTTTATTCTCTTGGATCTATTCTCCCTCACGCTGTTCTCACTTCCTTAATCCAACTGAAGTACAATCATGTCCTTCCACCAGCACACCTGCGCCACAATCAATCTTCTTTTTACAATGGGTTACCCATTCCCCTCCGCCAGCATCCTAGCGCTACACACGACCTTACACTATTACAACTAGCACTATCCTCCCGCTCTTCCAGCACTACTGTGACAAAACAATCGGCATACTATTGCATTACAATCCTCTCACTCTGCCGTCACCCTTACGCTAAAATGAACCTTAATTAATTACAATCCGTTGGCTCCACCAACACCACTCTACAAAAGACTACTTCCATTTTTACCACAATCGTAAGGGAATATATGGTCTATTCGTGAGGAATAGAATCATTTCGATCTAGGTAATGTCGCACGTGCAGGCTTTTGTTTTCGAGATTAGTGCGCGGCGGCCACGGTCCTCGAGTCCCGAAGTTTCAGGAGGATCGTTCCATGGCTAAGTGTTGTATCAATTAGCGGCGTCGAAGGGTGCGCGAATGACGTGTTCCAGCAGCGTTCCAAACACCACAAGGCCTAAGATCGACTCTCCAAATACGTCGCCAGCGGAAAACCCTTGCCGAGTGCATAGCAGGCGGGGATTACCGTCGTCGAAGGTGTGGTTGAGCGGCGCCCAGGCGGCGCCCGCCACCAGCGTGGCGATCAAGAGCGGTCCGTACTCCGGGTGGCGGCCGCCGACCAGGGTGACGTAGTCCCCGGGCTTCACGCCCAGCATCTGCATCCCGGCCGCCAGCTGCAGGCCCCGTTGCAGCACCTGCCGCGCCGTCCAGCTCACGCCCTCGCGCGGGTACACCTACGCACAGCCACACACTGCCCTTGCGGTGCGCTTGCGCAAAGCAAATAGGCGCATCCTTTGTCCCACGGGAATGTTATCCTTTCTCCCAGTTAAACACTGATGTGTTACTTGAGTGGCACTCAGAAATGAATATTTTTCTTGTGGAGATTAACACTTTACCGGTCTCGATTACCTAGAAAGGTTGTTAGGGTGCTGGATCAGAATCTGTAGACACTGGTCAAGTTTTAATTTGTCTTTTCGGATACTGAACACCATTATCCACGCGAGGACATCTATTCCAATGAAATTGTTTCACCCGTGCGAATACACCTCGTCACGGCGACATTCGATTACGGGTTACTTTTACTGATACGAGTTACTTTTACCCGTCCGAGTACTTCAGTTATACTCCTGCCGGATACAGACACAAATGGATTAGAGCCGCAATACATCCTGATTGGTACAAATGAGTTTGGCGTCGGCGGGACAATAAGATTTCAACTTCCGAAGCCTGTAATAATCTGAGGAGCACTGTTGTGTTTGTTGTGTTGCTTGACTGACATTCTGAAATGAATAGTTTTCTTGAAAAGATTAGCTCTTTAAGGGCCTCTAACATCTAGAAAGACATGTTTATGTTTTAGGATGCTCAATCAGAATCTCTAAGACACTGACTTGGCGAGTTTTAATTTTTCTTTTGGGACGCGACAAACGTATTAGAGGGCTAATGTATGTGTGTGTAGATACTTGAAAGGCCAGAGAAACCAGAGGGTACCGATGTGTTTGTGTGTTATTACTTGAATGACTTAGTCCTTGAGAAGGTGCTTGATGGTCGTTACCTGGATGACGTCGTCGCCGCGCGCCTGCAGTCCTTCCATGAGGCGCTGCGCCAGGGGGCGCGCGAGGCAGTCGCTGACGCGAGGGTAGCCGTCCATGGGGCCGCGCAGCTCGCCGTCCTCCAGCGCCTCTGGCGGCGCGTCATCGCACTCTTCCGCGGGGCCCATAGCCTCTCCTTACCTGGGTACACACTGCAAATAAACAAAAGACAAAAAATGAAACGTTATAAACATTACAGTTGGGAGAAGCAGCTACATTCTCTGAGCATTGTATATAATTTGTTCGTCCTAAATATTTCTAGACTTATAAGAAGCTCGTACCAAAACATAGCTGGTGAACAAGTTTTAAATCAAAACAGCATGGGGGTGTTAATAGCATGCGTTTAGACACTAGAAGGTATTAAGTTAATATTTAAATTAGAGGTGGTACATCAGCATTATTTATAAATTTGCAATTTTCGAAAATTCAAAGAGATCACCGAAAACGAAGCCTGAGTCATTCTTTTAAACATGCTTTCTTTGATTTATGGAAAAAAGGTCAACAAAATTTGGAGCAGGTTTTGAGATTTGTTTATAAATTGCATTAATTTCAAGCCCAAATTACGGAAAAACTACTCGTTTTTTCAATGATCTATATTTGAGTCTGATGAGCTGATTTTTTGGAACAGACTGTCTCAGACTGTAACCATTTTGCAATTTTGTAATTTTGAAATGTTAACTTTGCAATTTTCGGAAATATGGAAATTTTGCCGAGCATTTTATTTTCGTCCCTTGATAAATCCCTTAACATCCCTTGATATATTGAGAAGGGGAACGATTTTAAAGAAAAATATGTATCGTTGTTTTTAGAGAAAATGTCTAAAATAATTTTAAATTCATTACATTTCGTTCAAAATTACACGAAATCACTGATATTTTCGAGAATTTGAACATGATCTTATTTCAAGATCTTACTTTAAAGAACAGATTTCATTTTGGAAAAAAAGTATCTTCAATATTGTTGAAGCAGCGAAATAGTGGACAGGAATGCTTACCAACGTAGAAAACTAACTTTCAATGCAGCCAATACGCATTGCTACGAAACTGCTCGCGGCTCCAGATTCTCGAAAATTGCCACCTCGTCGCGTCTTATTGGACAGGCGTTTGATTCCGAGAAATTTGTCGACTATGAGCCATGCTGCCCGGCTCGGCACCCAGGAGCAGGCGCGATCTCTCGGCCGCTTTTGCAAAGACTTCAAAATTCGTTTCAAAGAGTTTCATATAAAATGAAGTCTTCTTCCTTGAGAGAGAAGATGCGACGTTTGAAATGAATGTTATTTTCTCGTAAATAACCCCAAAGAATTGTCAAAATAATTGAGTTCTAAGTATGGCACCAAATTTGAATTAATTTGACCGATTATGTGCCAACAAATACAGTAGTGTAGCACGATGCCCCACAAAATTGCTTTTGAAGATTTAAAAAAATCAGGGATTCCCACAAACATGAGATATGCACCATTCTCTTATGCGTTTTTTTTTGCTATCCGGGGTTTAATAAAAAATTTGGTTTGAGATAATTTTGAAAATGTAGAGGCTTTATGTCTCAAGAATCAAAATACCCGTTTGAAACTCCCAAAGCCTCGTGTTCATTCAGATAAATAGGAGAATATCGATTTTCTAGAAAATCGGCTAAACGATTTAGGCGTAGACTGAGAGACAGACGTTTTACCGTCAATCGATTTTTCGGTATCAAGGACCCACAGAACATTCATTCTGGCTACACCACGTGTAACAGGAAGTAATTTACTATGTATAGGAATTTTTTGTCCACTTTTAACTTTTTCCGGTGATCAATTACAATACTTTCTCTTCTTACATTCGTAAATGGCAGAATGTAAAATTATCACTATGTGGGAAGTTAGCATTTTCAAATACTATTTTAGTACTATTTTTAGCATTATGTAATACTAATACTATCCGACTTCAGCCAATGAGATTCAGACACCAGCTTGCATCACAATTTTAGCGGGAATTTTAAATGCAGCCAGAACCGAAATTATAATGTCACAAGTCATTGGAACAGATATATGAAGCATTTTTTTAAAAAAAATATTGCATCTTATACACCTTTATCGTGTTATTTTTGTAGAAAATTGTCTCTTTATGTCACTTTCAGAATGTTTCTGAACATTTCTCACACTGTATGCAAGGCTGGTCTGGCTTTTCAAACGAACTGCCCGTGTTGTGGTCACGTGGTTCGTGTTGCAGACCGGCGGTGCGCAGAACGAGCAAACATCGGTGCACTGGACTCGCTTCCCCATGTCTTTGCGTCATGGTTGATACACCGACTTCTTTCGGTAGATCGATTGCTACTTACAAACACACAACGTGGCAGGTAAGCGCTTGTTTAGGTTCCGAATATATTTTCAGGAATTGTGGGAGAGCATTGATGTAAAAGGAGAAGATTCGGAGAAGCAACCGCGTGTTGATAGAATTTTAACTTAAGGCGACGACTAAGATTCGACTTCAATGTTATCAGCACATGGAATCATTAGAATCTTGATATAAGTATTAAGTACTTCAACAACAAACTTAAATGTCACCTAGTTCGCGTTTACAATTTCCGATTGGAGACAGAAGCCGAGCGTAGCCAAAAGAAGAGCGGGGTCAAATGTGTCCCAAGTCGGACAGTTAATAATTGTGAACTAAAAGTTTGGCACCAAATGGATAAATCGACTGAATATTTTTTTGATGTTGATGTTGATTTCAAGATGCTATTAAAAGTATGTATTTTTACTACAAAACGGATAATATTTGCGAACGTTAACGTCTTTGGGGCTAACAACCTCCCATTTAAATCAACTATCACGAAATTCGGTTGAGTAGAAAGCTCAAATTTCTTTCTAAACTAAAAAAGTGTTTTAAAAATAAAGATATCATAGGCAGGTGGGAATCCTCTGTCATCATCGGGAGAAGCCGCTGGGACGCCCCGCCAGCGCCTATCACAGACGTTATCTCTCGCCGCCGCTCGCGCCGGCGCCGACTGCGTCATTCAATGAGCGTGAGTTGCGCACTCGTCTGAAGAAGTCCGCTCCCGCACTTGAACTCCCTCGCACACATCGAGCCCTGAGGTTACTATGCGTCGATTCACTTACAAAGCAATTACGGCTACTTTAATCAGCTGTTACGGTATCATTCTATAGGGAGTTTGACGTCACCGTAGTGACGTTCAAGCTCCCGATTGGGCAGCGGAATAACGTCAAGTATCAGTACAAATAAATCGAATTACACAATACGTCAACCCGTCTGTTCAGATACCGGGTGCATATGTGCGAGTTCTCGAGGTCGGCTGCTCTCACCTGTTTTCGGCGGTTGATTGATTTCAAATGCTATGCTATTAGCTTTATCAACGTAGTAAATATTTCCCGGATATATATTATTCCCGGTAAACGGCGATGTTCCTCCTCCTCTGGCTGGCGAGATCCGGCGCAGACTTACACGTCGGCTCGCGGGTTATTTCCCGCCAGGCTTCCCAACGGAGCACTCCGCCAGACGGGACATGCCCCATGCTCCCTTCCGAAGCAGTGATTTGAGGGAACGGAGGAGGAAGGAAAGAGCGCGGGCGGTCCGTGGCCAGTTTGCTATGGCACAGCTCCGGCTGGCATTGATCGGAGAAGCCGCCCGCTAGAATTCACCGGACAATGGCGAGATTCGTCCGCGCTACGCAGCCCTTGTGAAGAATTGTCCACCGGCGGACTGGAAACGTGGTGTTGAGAGTCGCCTCGCTCGGAGACGTTTCTGGGCTTTGCTCCGACTCCTGCCCATCCCGTTCGCACCGCGCTCTCTCCCCACGGCAGACGCGTTGTAATAATTATTAACATAGAAAAGGCATATTTCGAGTTAGGGCCATGTCAAGGCCTCTATTCACAACGGACGTCATTCAGCATTTTTCCACATTGATGAAAAAAACGAGTGGCAGTTATTTCGAATTGCGGAAATGAACTCTTCTCATGGAAAAAGAAGAACAATGTATACAAAAGTTTCATAAGACATTTTTGAAATGGACCACATTTTAAGTTTTATTACTATCATTATATTTGTCTTTAAATGGCTCTTGCACTCACGTTCAAAGTGGCCAATGATTGATTGAAACTTCAACCACATCCAGCTGTTTATCAGCAAAAAATTATCAACTTTTCCAATAGAGTACCTCACTTTGTTAACCTGTTTTCTTTTCTTAGTCATAATTATTTACCTTACCAGTTGGTAAAATATATTGGTTGCGAGTTAGTTGTTCATTCACGAACGCTTTAGCTTTAACGATCGCCTATTGAAAATTTTGACACATTTTTAACAATATTTTTATACCATTAGTGGTAATGATTTACCTATTTATGGTAAGTATGTTGACTTATGCGGTAGTTAACAATCGCATGTGATTTTGTATTTAAGCTGAGGTGAACGGTCATTCAGACAGGGCGAAAAGGGACATGAAGTGTCGACTGCAAAATTAATCTTCTTTTCGTTTCTAGTTTGACACAAAAACTCTTTATACTTTCTTTAACTTTACCTCTATTTGATGGCCATCGACTATTTTGGAAATGACAATTTCCTTTCTATTTTAAATTTATCTCTTATAAATTAAAAGATGTTTTGGCCTTGCTACATTGTTTATAAAGTCCTTTAACTTATTATCTGTACTTTCCTTTACGAAGGTATTACGGAAAACGTGACGTTGTGACGAATTCAGCGACTACAGTCATGTTTTCTTTCTGGAACTCTTCACTTTACCACACTGAATTTATTACATTCGTATTGCAGCAATTCGCGGTCTAATTTCCTCCAATATTATTCTGTTCTCATTAATCGTTTTTTACTTAATCTTGTTCTCCTATTCTCTACTAACCGTGAACACATGTCCATTGTCTTCTTCTCACAAACTAAAATACAATATTTCTAAATAATGTTCTGACGGCTGTAGTTCCTTCGCCATGAAATACGTCTTAGTTCTGATTCAAAGAAAAAGCGATCATATTCACCTACAATCTTAGTTCTTCTAAAGTTCACTTGCTTCATTGTTACTTCAACTCGAGCCATTCTTCTCGCCCCCGCAACCCTGCATCTACCCTCTCTTGTCATGTCAACAATGTCTTATGTTATTTTGATATACTTTGTTTCCTAAAAAACTTCTTAATTG